AAACCGCTCATTTACTCAAATAAGTACAAAAATAAAAGCTTTTATTTTCATTACATTTTCACCCATCAACATCACAACTTAGGTTATGATGTCGATGTTTTCACCTCTCCCGTGGCCTGATTTTGAATTTTATTTAATATTTGTTTTTTCCAATGAGAGAGGCGGTATTCCCCAGCAATTTAACAGTCGGCCTGAGTCAAGGACTCAGGTTCAGGAACCGTCAAACTATACGTGCCGTATCAAGCAACACCTTACATTTTTATATGATATCAAGTGACGGGACGAACAAAACGTGACATAAGCTGACAAGTGTCATGTGCCTGTAATTTCACCAACACCCTTACCCTTCAGAACCGGAATGCGGTAATGCCCACATCACCGCTTGGCGGCAGAAATAGGTAAGGTGGCAGTCCTTCTCCGCACGAATTCTTCAACAAGCTTTACAGCTACTAATAAAATAATTTGTGCTGGAAGCGACAGATCTAAAAAGCCATCCACCTCAAATTTTTAGCGAGTCTGGCTGGAATAAGTAAATGTGGTTTGCAACTATACAGGTACTTTGGAGATATCTACAGACTGTTTCGAATTATGTTAAAAACGGAATTGTGCTGAAATAGAAGAATTTTCCACAAATAGTATGTTTACGGAAACTACGATAAATAAACAACACAATATTAGTTTTCCTTGTGGTTCAATTATTAAAATTGAGACAAAAAAACATATCACGTGAACACGTTATGTAAAGTTATGCAATTTTTGTAATATTCACGCGATTACTCCACTACCGGAGATTATAATACTTCTGACTTTTAAGAAGATAATTATCCAAGCTCTGAATGCATGCAAAGTTTGATTCTATTTCTATTATTAACTAATCAAACTCAATGAAGTTTGGTACACAAAATCTAGATTCTAATATGGGTGTGGTATGATGGATTCCCATTTAATAATATGGTAGCTATGACGTTAGTTTCTAATTTACGTATAATTCTAATTGTTAAGTAGTAATATTTCGCGCTAAACGAAAACATAGTATTGAAACCTGCATGTTGAAGAATGTTTATAAACCTTGTAGACGTGTAAAGACACCCGTGCCCAGCAATAGGACATCTACTGGTTTGGGGATAGTGTAGTAATTTAAGTCTCGTAAATTTCTAACCAAAAGAGTCCACTTTGATTTGAAGGCAATCTACAGTTGAAAAAGTGGTCATTGGAAAAATAACTAATTCCTTGTAAAATCGTATACATTCTTTGGTAAGTATTAGTACCTAATTGGTCAGAATTACTTACGTTAATGGAGGCTACGCTAAATATAATTTCGAGTTCTATTTTTGTATTTGACAGCTTCCGTCTAAATACCAGGTCATAATTTAACTTTATTTACATTAAATATTGCGTAAAACTACGATTTATTTTTTATATCGAAGTAACTATACTTTAAGTTAATTTGTACAAAGATTTTTGTGCACGGTGATTATGGAGACTGATTTGTGGTTATCTTTATCGAATTTTAGCTCTTCATCTTGAATATCGCACTGATATTACAATAGTGTTGTAACTCAAAATATGTGAAATTCAAGATTCTGAACGTAAAATTTGATTCTTTACAAGTCAATAAAACTGTTAGAGTATTGTAAGAAACAATTGAAAGTAATCTACTTAACCCAAAATGAGACAAGCTATTTGTGAGCTCGTTCTGGACAAAACAATTTTGCTAAGTATGTTTTTTTCTAAAGCTGAATGTGTGTATAATATTGTAATATTGTTAACAAAAACGATGAACTCAGAATATGCAAAAGTGGTTCACTTGCCTATACAATCTTCCGATTAACCGCATACATGTACAAGATGATTACATACAATGGCATAACGAATTTAATAATATTTACCTAAAATATTTTTTTTTTACAATACCAAGTGGCGGAACGAACATGTCGTGCGCCTGATGTTAAGCGACACGCCTGTCCATAACAGTTGCAGTGCCACTCAGAACTTTAAATCGGAAGGTTAAGTTGACAAGTCCCATGTGCCTGCAATTTCACCATCACCCTTGCATTTCAAAATACAGCAAGACAGTGAAACCCTTGAAGGGTTTAAAAGTGTCATGTTTGACAAATAAGATGCAATATGAGTAAAATTAAATCTAAAAAGATTCTAAAAAGGTAAACGCAAAAATTAACTGTACCATTCTGATTAATTCATGAATTATTTTTTTAATGACAAAACCTTACGGCGACATACTTCTAGCTTTAAAAGTTATTTTTGTGCACATTTAACTTATCAGAAAAAATACGTAAAACTCAATACATAGTATACATTTCTACGACTGGCGATACACGAAATGTGTTACAGAATTTTCATTACCATCTCTTTTATTGGCAACAGAGTTTGATATTAAAAGCCAGTAAAACCATTTCGAGATCATTAACTAAGTTATTAGCCATCGGATATCGGTGTAATATAGCGTACTGTCATTGTTCAATATCGAGCAAGAAAGCTACCATGACCACGTTAATTAAACGTATGATTTTTACATTTTGAAACTTTTGAAAGTAGTTTTTTGTTGTTTAGGACTTTGCCTTTCGATAAAAAAATCGACCTCAAAAGTTCGTGGAATTGAAATCGGTTTCCAGAAAGTGCTCGAAACTGTATTCATCCCTTAGTTTGGCACCCTTAGAGGTGGAATATTTTCTCCAAATTTAAATGGGACCTATACTGAGGTACCCTCTTTTCAACACAAAAAGAATTATCACAGTCGGTTCTTAAATCGCGTAATATACGAATTAAGGACCTCCTCCTTTTTTGAAGTCGATTAAATATGAGACTACACCGTTCTATACATATAACTGCCTTCGTGGCCGAACGGATACCATGCCGGACTGCGACGCAGAGGTCCCAGGTTCGATTCCCGGGTTGGGAGAAATATTTGTATGGCCTACATTTATTTCTCTCGTGAGTTTGGGTGTAATTTGTGGTTGTCTTGTGTGCTTTATTATTAAAAAATCATTATTTAGTAAAGGAGAGAGAACTGAAGCAGGTTATTATTGCTTTAACTTCAAGCCTCTCTCCACCAATTTATATGGCATCTTGGCTTCCCTCGATAAAGGAAAAGCCAATATGCCGTTACATCCGCCAACTTGTCTGAATTGGTCACACATAGTAGCTACATCAAATCTAAACGAATCGCTTCGTTTACACTCCATCGGTATATGATATACATATTCTTTGACGTGAAATACAACGCAAACTATAATAAAAATATTAGTTGTGGTTTGCAATTGAAATTGTAGCGATTTTTAGTTGTAGTGACGACGCCGTGTTCTTTATTTTATAAACAGTAACATGAAATGGTAATCCCAAATAGAATTTATATGTAAGAAGGTGAATCAGTTCTCATACGCGTTATTTATGTTAAGGAAGAAAGCTAGCCTCGAGGTTGTTCTAACAGCATATCACGGTTTCATAGCTTCAAAATTGCGCTACGGAATCAGTTTCTGGGGTAATGCTATAAATGTGAAGAGAGTGTTCCTAGCACAAAAGAAGTGTATTAGAGCAATGTGTGGTCTAAAACGAACAGATAGCTGCAGACCTTATTTTAAGAAACATAAATTACTAACGCTAATGTCTCTTTATGTATTTAATACCGTAGTTTTCATCAGACGCAATCCAAACTTCTTTAATTGTGTTAAGAGTGCCCGTAGGAATAATAAAGTTGACAGCGTAGGTGGCAGATCTGCCCTCCTATGTAATAGTATTATTGCAATGAGTGCCAAGATTTATAATAAATTACCATCTGACATAAGGAACATTAAGGACATTGTAACATTTAAAAGAAATCTATTTGAATACCTTGTTAATGAAACATTTTACTCTATAAACGAATATTTCGGTAATAATTAAGTAATTTGACATTAAATAAAATTGAGTAATAATTAAGCAAATAAATAATAATTAAGTAAAATAACTATGTTCATCATCCACTTATGTAGTTCGTATGCCTGAAGGTGCAACATAGAGGGTCGCTATAACTTATTTAATACCATGTATTTCAATGTACTGTATCCTATGTTGACGAATAAATGCATTTGATTTGATTTAATTTGATTTGATTTGAAAAAAATTTTCAATATTCGTATCAATTCTATTGAAATAGTAATATATGATTACAAAAGTAAGAAAATTGCGAGCTAGGTTTTATCTTTTCATTAACTAACTCAAGTATCAATAAATAAAAAACAAGGTTTGAAGACAAGCAATTTTGCTTTAGTGTAAGCACCTGCCCAATCCGGATTGGAATCTTTCACTTTTTTGAAAGGTTATGAACCTTTTTCGACGTGCAGGTTTCATAGCGATGTTTTCCATCACAGTTAATGAAAGATATTGCTACGAAATATTCAATTTAACTAACTTAGAAATTAGAGTCATAGGTACGTGCCACCGGAAACCGTAGACCTCTGTATGACGACGCAAATATTGTCAGACATTATAAATCCAAAATAACATATTGGTATATGTATACACTCGTGATCTTCAGTCGATCATATAACAGTATGATTACGTCAATTACAACATAGAGGATAACATTTCATGTATACGCACGCAAAGAGACCGCAGCGATTCCTACAGATTTTCTTATATTTTATGATGTAATGCATAACATTACATAATCAAATTTACATTTACATTGTTTATTGTAGGTTTTAGAAATCTATTCTATTCAATATTACAATTCATAATAAATCGTACACAATTTACGTTTACTTTTATATATTATTGATATAATAATAAAACAAGATGTAAGAAATGCATTGCTATAGGGTTCTCTTTAGTCATTTTGAAATAATTGCAATGAAATAAGACTTCAGAATGACTGAACCAATTACGATTAAACTTTTATAAAATTGTTCTGGAGATCGATCATTTTCGTAGTAGCATTATTAATCAATTGTACATTACTATATATATGCTATGTCATATGTTTAAGCACAATAGATACATACCATGTACAGATCGCCATAGCGGCAGACCTTCCAGAAACCCTTGATGCTCACGAGCATGTTGCGCGCACGCCGTTCGCTCCACAGCGCCGCCCCGCACCCCGCGCCGCAGCACACTACCCGCGCGCCCCTGCAATAATAACATCTATCATCACATATATATACCTTCCAAAAAAAATACACGTCACGTTTTGGAACATTTATGTTTTTCATGTTTGTTTATTTAATATACGACACGGACACCAACGTACCTTTATACCAATTGCTGATTGAAATAGGAAAAAACAACCCAGTAACATTACAAAATTGATTTAATGAAGCTATATAAAGTTTTAAATGAAACTAGGCTGGAAAGAATAAAACCCGTGAATCAGCTCTTTACTTTTATTGTGCTAGCGGTTAAAACAATTTTTTTCCATATTGAGTTCCTACCCCTGTGATACGAAGGAAACTCCATGGTCTGTGACGGACGGACGATCTGGTGAAGATAGCAAGACTGGATGCGTAAAGCAGTGGAAGTTTCTCTGGAAGTCACTCTACTGGATGCGTAAAGGAGTGGAAGTTTCTCTAATGAATTTTATTTCATATTCACTCTACGTTGTGACATTCTTTGACGCGGACTTATAGGGTTTGTCTGTTTTGTTCAGCTGATTATGTGTTATTGTAAAAAACTTTACTTAAATGGTCTAATAAACCGGAACCGGACTCTCTGTATTAAAGGCTTGCTGCCCCTGCGCAGACCGGTGCTAAATTTAAGAACTGAATTAACCGTGGGTGCAGTTATCCAAAACACTTACGTAGTTGCATATGTGTATATACATAATTACGTGTTAAAATATCCTAGCAAAATACGAGCACATAGCTGGGATCATAACCTATACGGTATTTAGGATCTAAAAATATATTGTTTCTTCTAAACTAATCTAAAGCGAAAGAGCTGACATAATATTATTTAGTTTAGTTCAAAATTTCGATATCACGCAATCGACACCATAGGTATGTTATTGTTACACACGGATAAGTACGAAGAAAATGTTTTAAGGCATGGGACATAAGCAAATATTTTTCTAGTTTATATAAATATGTACTCAATTACTAATAATCGTAATGTTCTCTTTTTCTAGAAATTGAATACGCGGAATATACAGCGGTATTTGCTTATGAATAGCAACACATGTTGTATGTTTTTATTTTGTTGTTATATTAAATGAGTAATGCGCGCTTGCGCACTGCATCTGGTTCATATTCGTTCCGAATTCGATAATATACAAATCTAGAAAACTCGGACCCACTTCCTTGTCCTTCTTTCACTAGTTGCTTGTGCACTAAGTCCGATACAAATCCGAGAAAATACGTATATGATATGAATATGTACACATAGAGATAAATTGACACTTCGGACACCTGTGACATTTCGGATCGTCATTTTCTCGGATTGGTATCAGTTCCGAATGCGAAATGTCAGGGATTATTTTATCTCCAGGTGTACAAGCGACATCGACATCGGCATCATAATTATTATTAAGTGTAAATTGTTGATGCACGTTCTGCTAAAATGTCTTGAAGATTTCTTATGCCAAAAAGTAAGCATATGTTACTTTTTGAGCACTAGAAATCTTCAATTTAAAGTGACTTAATAAGGGCAATATTCGACATTTTTAGTTTACGGTTCGGTCATGTCAAATCATACTTTATCTATACATAGTTTATTTGCAAACCATACTGATCTGATAAGAAAATCCAATTTTATTGTTTCCGGATCGTAAAAGGAGCATTGTTTTATGTTGAAGGTACATTACTTGTGTTTAAAGCTGGTGCGCGCGCGCAAAATAGCCATGTCTTTAACCAATCGCATGTAATCCAATCATACTTAATTAAATCTTATGTTAGCGCCGCTCCATTCGCAATATTGTTAACTATTTTCAAGCTCGGTGCTTAATCAATTTAAATATTTCATTAAACATTTTCAAATATAAGTAAATTACAAACTGACTGCACTACTGTGTGCCCCACCAAAGATGACAACATTGAACCATAAACACTTTGGGAATTTAACCCACTGAGCTGAAGAGTTTTTCACATAAAGACAAAGCAGCGTTGGAGGAGTATCTTTTTCTTTCTTTCTATTATTTCAATACTCGATGTCATTGTGCAATGTTATTTAATATTTGAGTTTTGCATTGTAAAATATTATTTAATAATTACAAGATAATATACTTGAATATTTAAATAATAAAAATTGCCACGGAGATAAAGTAGTGAACACTAGTCCGAGAATGACCGAAATAAGACCGATTGCATGTTGTCAAAAACATTAAACGAAAATAACAATATATATATTTTTTTATTATAACCTTACCTACATATATCACAAACTTCTAAGATAAATACAAATTAAATCAAATTTAAAGGATAAAAATATACGTTATTAAAATTAATTAATTAGCGTAACGTATGTACCGTAAATTGGAATGTTCGTTGGTAAATTAAAAAAAAAGTTCTGAAATTTATTGTAACTGTGGATCAGAATAGGGTTGCTTGCATTAATGTTAGACGTAACTAATTGGTGCCTTTACCAGCTCAGTCAGTCGTGATCGTGGGACCCGTAATCGGCCAACAAATATAATATGTAGAGAAAAATAGTACAATTTCCATTGTGTATTATTTTGTTATCACTTAAATTAGCTGTTAAAATCGTCATATTATCTTGGTTCGACTACACATACATATTTACATCATTAGAATTATTTCCCATAGACACAGCAACAATGTTATCAAACACTGAACGGCCTGGTAAGTATATCGTCTTAATATAATTTCTACTATTTTTGTTTAAGTAGAGTAGTAAGAGTTGCCAGTAATGTTCTGGACGCTGAAAATATTCTGCCTTTTATCTTCGCGTAGTTCACGTGAAGTGAAAATAGAAATTTTGTGACCTGTTTTTTTTTTAAACAACTGTTTGAAAAACAAACACAGGCCTTGTTTGCTCTGAATACTTCATATACATTGCAAATTAAACAAAACTGACAACGTACCTGCCTGTTACACATATCTAATTATTGTTCATAGTAAGCTAATAAATTAAATGAAAATCATATTACTATTATAAAAGCACTTTAGTAACTACGTACGATTTCCAAACTCTTACTTTGAAATATTCTCCACTAGTGCCCGATAACAAGTTCTTCTTCAATCACAAAACGCTGTTGGTATAAACAGTAAAGTTTTACGTCCAAATATCACTTGAAAACTGTTTTTCTCACAACGGCGCCTGCGGTGAAAACTTGCGGCGTTCAGCTTTGCGTTTAAATTTAGAACTGCACGTGCGGATTTATTTCACTAGTTAAATGTTCAGCTTTACAGTATTTTAAATGAAAATAATTGTTTAGTTGCACTGATAATAATTTCGATGGAATATAAAATTTTGGTGCGTCAAACTTATCACAGTGAAAATTTAAACAATTTCGCTCGCACTTCTTTCTCGGGAAATCGCGCGCTCCAATTTATATTTGGAACAACAACACGTATTCGCGCTCGAACGTTACTTGGCGCGTTCTATTTTGTTATTTTTTAATTTAATTGTTTCATCGAGCCAATGTCACATCTGCATGGAGCCGAGTCGACTGTTTCGGAAAGCGGCCGAGTATTGCTACGATCTTGACCTTGCGCGCTGCTCTGGCGCACTGAAGCCGCTTTTCGTTCACACACCGTGTTTTATAACGCATTATTGTTGTCATAACTTTTCCTGGGCGCCCGCTGATATACAACCGCGAACACTATTTGTAGATAACCGCCCGGAAAATTGGCCTCGCGTTGTTGATTGTACGTGATTTATTGAACACTTGTACAATTTTTTTTATTCAGTTCACGTTTTATTATCGCAATTGTTAAGGTACATTTTGAAATAATAATTCTGCCACTGATGTTGGGCTCAAGCTTATTTATTTTTCTATAATTTACTACTACAGAGTTACGTTAATTAACTCGAAACATATTAACAGACATCTCTTTTCTAAATCTTAAAAGTAAATCACGAAAGTTATTCAACTTCCTATACTAACACACATCAATGCTACTGTCCTTGAATTGTTACTAGAGCTTTCTGCAACTCGGGGATAATTACTGCAATGATTAGCAACCTACACTTGAAGTTTTCCACACAAGTGTGTTACCAAAATGGCGGGCTTTTGAAGTTACAAGTACAGTTTTTACAAAGTTTTTAATTTTATTTTAAGTATATTATGAAACAAATAATGATGAAGAAAGTTAGAACTATATTTCTTATTTTAAACAAAATTACAAAAGAGTTTATCCTGAAATGTCCAATAATTACGAATTCAAAGTTTTATGTTCAAAGTGACAATAATGTGATTAAAGTGAAAACATAAATATTGACTCCCACCGCTTAAAAGACAATTTAGAAAACCCTAACAAGAGAACTAATAAGAGAAAAGTGGAAAATATTTATTGAGGATCCCGATAATTAAACGAAGACATGGCTCAAATGACTTGTACCCAAGCCAAAACTCTTAATAAAAAAATCCACACAAGTGCCGCGGTGCAAATGCGCATTAGGTACAAATTACACACTGCACTAATCGTCCACAGGAAGTCGCATTGCGTCAAACAAGATTGTCATAGTCCATTTCAATAGGGATGAGTTCAGTGACACTTCTAATTTTTACATTGCACGCATACGATTTATAACTAATCTGCCAACCAGGTTACAAAAATAAATATTAAATTTGTTATAATGTACCAGAATCAAACAATATTTGTTGTAGACGTAATTTTAAGTCAGATTTGAGGTATATAATGTAGATAGAAAATTAAATAATATATGTCAAATTAAGTTACCACAACTGCTTCATGCGTAAAACGGATTATTTATCCATAGAGATTTACATCATAGAATCGATAAATCGATAAACTCGCGTCAATACTAGGCATTAACATACCTTGTTAGAGGGTTTTATTTTGTTTTTAACTTTGCGTGATCTTTTTGGAGTAATTGTTCAAATTCCGTTTCGTTTGTGTTGATTTTATGCTTTATTGTTGACTTTTTTTGATTGTGTAGTTGTTATGGATAGACACAACATAAATTACCCTAATTACTTAATGTGTTAAACGAAAAAATTATCCACAGATATATTTACACCATCATTTTGTCATTACTTGTTCTTAAATTATTTTCTGTAAATCGATTCCCTCTTCGTTACAAATTATCTCGATAAGATATGGATATTTTTTTTGCGATTTTACATCACTACATCTCTAGAAACTTCAAATTTCAAACGTCACCGGAATCATCCCTATTGAAATGGACTACAGCTTCAATAAAACACAATATATCGCATAGAGTTCACCTTAGCCAATATGCTTTACTGTAAAAAACTGTACAACTCTTTATTTAAAAGTAATTTCAGTTACGGTAGAGTCTTTACAGAGAGAATTATAGATGAAGTCGTATATAATCACAAATGGCTTTGCCGACATTCTTAACTAACAGAACAAAGTCTTATCTTGTAAACTCGTTAATTATCTGTAATTCAAGCACACTTTTCTACTATTCATTGCAGATTTTATATTATAGATAAGATAACATTTTATTCTCTATGGAAATGTTCGTAGGTTGATACTTCCCGCCATTATACCACAGCCATTTTGTATCATTTTTTTTCAAATACCAAGTGACATAATAAAATGAAATTCGAAAAAGCATCCCTTCTCTTCCGCCACACGTCGCGATTTAACACCGCGTTAAATGTAGGCCTCATTCGTAGCTAAAATGTTCTGTATCCTGCAGCAATTTCGCGTGAACTAGTAAATATACACCATTACAATACTTATCGAGTTTTTAGGTGTTCACAATTGTTACACATACGAAATGAAACTAGTTTTTTCGGATCTAAATGGCGAACGTTTGTTTGAAAAAAGAATTATACTAAACAAAATATTACAAACTCAATTTGATTTCGTGTAAAAATTGACAAAGGTATAATGCAATAATGAGAGAAAGTTTACTTTATGCAACAATTTAGTTAACAGACTTATTTTCACATTTTCACATTTGTGGTACGTGTTACGTACGCATGTTTTTTTTTATAAAATTAAGTGACGGGACGTGCGCCTGATGGTAAGCTACACGCCTGTCCATAACAGTTTCAGTGGCACTCAGAGCTTTAAATCGCAAAAATCTGAGGGACACTGCCACTGCACCCGTCCCTTTAAGATATCAAGTTGACAAATCGCTTATGCCTGCAGTTTCACCAGCACCTTACTACTGCTGCAAAATAATTTACTTTTTACTTTACGCATTTTTTTTTTCTAATTTTTGAAGTGAACTCCTGATACATCTTAACACGTTTTTTCCTAATTTTGATTTATTTTTCATAACAAAAACTCTACAGTTTTATAATTAACTAAGCATAAATATAATGTATCCTCAATTATTGACCAATTTTATTGTATTTTATGTTAGATCCTTTATGTAAAACTCAAGATCATCAGTAAATAGATTGCATCACATATTACTATTGCAAGCAGTAGAGCTCCTCGTGAAAGAGTTCGTTCAGGGAAGTACTGCCACCTTTCCTATTTCTGCCGCCAAGCAGTAATGCATTACTGTGGTTTTGAAGGGTAAGGGTACTGGTGAAATTACAGGCACATGGGACTTGTTAACTTATGTCTCAGGGTGACGGGTGTAGTGGCAGTGCCCCTCAGATCTTTGCGATTTGCAGCTCTGAGTGGCACTGCAACTGTTATGGACAGGCGTGTAGCTTACCATCAGGCGCAGGACTTGTTCGTCCGGTCACTTGATATTATAAAAAAATATTACGATACATAATTATGATTGTGTTATATATTTTCCTTACTATATTTTAAAATGAAATAATATTCATATATTCAATGTACTATAAGTACTAGGGCGTTCAATGTATTCTCGGTATCGGGGTGATTAACTAATGATAAGAGTAAATTAATTACCTCATTAGTTAAAGACACTCTTTAAGGGAATAAATATAAAATTTCATGTAATTGTCATCATTAGTATTCAAGTTATCAATACGAGAAGACAACTACAATGACAGACGCCACAATGTTGACGAAAATCGAGCACCGCGCAGTGATTAAATTCCTTACAAAACAAGGAAAGACTCAAAAAGTTATTCATGAAGAAATGGTGGCTGTTTATCAAGATTCTGCTACTTTATTATCTATTATTCAGAAGTGGTCTAGTGAATTTAAACGGGTTAGAGAGAATATTGAAGACGACCCCCGTGCTGGAGGGCCGGTAAGTGCCACTTCTGAAGTAAACGTCAAAATTGTCGAGAAATTTGTATTGGAAGATGCCCGTATCAGAGTGAAAACATTAGCAGAAAAGACTAAGCTATCCGTGGGTACCATTCACACTATCCTTCATGAACATCTGAATCTTTCAAAAGTCAGTGCAAGATGGGTGCCGCGAATGCTCACGCCGCTTCAGAAACAAGTTCGAGTTGAGTGCAGTAAGGCGTTTTTGGAGCTCTGTAGCGAAAATCCGAGTGGAATTTTTGAACGCATTGTCATCGGTGATGAAACGTGGGTTCATCACTATGATCCTGAGAGTGAGCAAGAGTCCATGCAGTGGCATAAAAAAGGAACAGACCCACCGAAGAAGTTTAAAGTCTACCCATCCGCCGGAAAACTCATGGCCACAGTGTTTTGGGATTTTAAGGGAATTTTACTGATCGAATACACAAAAATGGGTCAAAGTATTACTGCCGCAGCTTACGCAAACAGCCTACGTAATTTGAAGGACGCTATAAAGGAAAAAAGACCTGGAAAATTGTTCGCTGGTGTCTTGCTTCTTCATGACAACGCGCCGGTGCACACAGGGCGCGTTGCCAAGGCTGCTGTGAGTGATTGTGGATTTGAAGAAATCACTCATCCACCCTACAACCCTGACCTGGCCCCTAGTGATTACTTTTTGTTCCCAAACCTAAAGAAAGATCTTCGGGGTAAGCATTTTTCCGACGATGAAGAGTTGAAGGAGGCAATTAATTAACATTTTTCTTAAAAATATTTTTTCGAGGGCATCGAAAATTTATTTGCCCGATCAAATAAGTGTATTGAGGCTATGGGAGACTATATTGAAAAATAAATTTTATTTAGAATTTTTTGCCTATTGTTTCATACCTATACCGAGAATACATGGAACGCCTCTCGTACCTATACTAAAAAATAAAAGTTTTTGTGACTGTTACATGATGAAAATTAAATAGATATTAAAACACTCGTGAGATGTTTTTATGAAACTCGCCTGTAAGTTCGTTTCATAAACCCTCACTCGTGTTTTAATGCCTAATTATGTACAGTTACATACACTGCTCTATCTACACACATATTATAAGCTCTCTGTGATGTGTTCAGGAACCGCATGTTACGACTGGCGAAATGGCGGCAAACTAAAAGTTTTCTCGCGCATGTCACACAACGTAGTTTTTATTTTTATTCATAGACAAACTAGAATCGGCCCCAACTATCGCATCGTTCGATATCAAGTAACGTGTAAAATTGTCAAAATTGTTTGCTATTGACATTCCATTTCGAATAAAACTCATCTCGACTGATATTAGAATTGAGGTCCAATCAAATTGTGTTGTTTTTCAGAGATGTTCGAAATTTGAATGTAATAATAAAATCGAAGTCGATGTTAA